AAATCAAGGGGATTCAAAAACTGTATAAGACTAAATACTACTTTTATATCAAAATATTACTAACTGTGAAATTACAACATATAGTGCACATAGAAAAGTCACCTTCCTCATGTATCTGCCTAAGAGATTTGCATGCCACTAGCCTTGAGGCAACTCAAACCTAATTTTACATGTTTCAATGTGAACTGCACTGGTGCATGATGATGTCATCATGTACAAAAAATAACCTTCACTAATAGTAGGGCAACAAAACCTCCATGCACAGTAATTCTTGCTATACACTTGTTCCCATGATAACTTCATTATTTGAAGAAACAAGACAAAAATTTGAATAATAAGTAGGGAGGATGGGTGGAAATGTGTGAAAAGGTAAGTTTCTATGGGAAGTACATTTCCAAATTAGGAAAATGTTCACTTTTGAGACAATAACTCACCTCTGCAAACAGAAAAACTAGAATCCCACTGAGATGGTGGAGAGGTCAGTGCAAAATTTTATCTAGATTACCTCCCTTCAGCACCAGAAGAGAAGCCCATGGAGTGTGACATCCAATGGCAGGGGCAAACACATGGGAGACTGCATCTCACCTCTACATTCCTCTTTGCCTGGAATGTAAGGGGAGAAGAAGCAAATGAGACCCATATGTCGCAGAGACAGGTGAAATGAGAACCTTGCACATAAGCAGTCAGCAAGCTAATATGTGTACTGTGGTTGGGGCACATTCAGAACATACCTTGTGTGCTCACCTTGACTCTACTGAACAGACCCTACAGGACAGACTCCAGCTGTAGGTGAAGAACACTGCAGTTATGCAGTACAGTTTTATATAGTGTGTGTTAACTTCAACTCTACTGTACAGACACAGGATGCAGGAGGACACATCAGTTATGTAATATGGTGGTTTTATATAGTGTATGCTCACCTCAACTCTAATGAACAGACTCTGGCTGCAGGAGGAAAACACAAATGGTATGAGTTATGCATTAGAGGGCTGACCCAAACTACACTGTCAGTGTCATCACTTCACACCATATTGTGCAAAGCCCAACCAGTGAGGCTTCTCCATGGTCCACCATCCAAGTAACTAGGAACTGGTAAGTGATAAGGGTCTCCTGTGTTTCACTCGATGAAGGAAGGGGGATAATTTATGTTGGGAGACCAGGAGATTTGCTCAGATCCCCATTGGACCTCCAGCTGTAAACGTTTCTTATTAGAGACAGTGCAATAGGTGACCACAAAACTCTATTTGTAAAATATAGGAAGCATGAGTCAAAGAAGCATGCAGAACATTTCCCTGAAGCTGGGTTTTTTCCATGATAGTTCATGGAATAGGTATGGTATGGTTCAGACAATTGAGTAAGTATGTATACCACAAAGATAACTCAAATGGTCTTGTGGAACACACCATATCGCAGTGGGTACTGGTAGAGTCAGGGTGGATGAGCACTTTGTTATCCTCGCTCGATGCAGATGTTGGGTAAATATATCCTAGCAGGATTCTATGAAATTAAAAAGGGGTTCTGAAAGAGAAATTGTATGTTTTCTTCTCAAAGATGATGTGTTGATTGAAGAATGGCAACTGGTGGAAGCCAAAATCCAACAGGAAATAAAACAGCCAGATGGTATAGATAAGGAGGGCCCGATAAATACTATGGACACAAAAATGAGGAAAGAGTAAAGAGAAACATAGCCTAACACAAGGAGTCCCAACATCATGGTAACAAAGAAGGGATAGAGCAGAAGTGAAACAGAATAAGTTTGCAAAGAAAAGGGAACGAACATCTACAGAAAACTTACCTGAAGCATGATGAAGTACCTCTGACAAAAGGCACGGATAGGTGAAGGAATACAAGAGAGTAGTGAGAAAAAGACGAAAATGCAAAAATGAGAAACTGAAGAGTGAACTGAAGAGTGAAAATGAAGGTAAAGGGCCCAATTCTGCTGGCCATATAGATACCAAAATCAGGGTATTAAGGAAAAGAAAGGAAGAAAGTCTACAGGTCATGACCAAAAAAAAAAAAGAGTCACAAACGCAAGGAGGAGAATGAGGCATTTGGGTGTGACAGAGGAGCTATTAGGAAACAATATAAATCCTAATAACAAGGAAGGAGAAAAGATAAAGTAAACCCTGGATCCTTAAGTAAAAAACCAAGAAATAATAAAGGACACAGGAGGAGAATGAGGCATTTGGGTGTGACAGAGGAGCTATTAGGAAACAATATAAATCCTAATAACAAGCAAGGAGAAAAGATAAAGTAAACCCTGGATCCTGGAGTAAAAAACCAGAAATAATAAAGGACACAGGCAAAAGATAAGAAAAGGAACATACCTGAGAATGAAATCTAGAAAGATGTTGAAAATTTAAGATTATTTCTCAAATGGTAATGCACTATCCAAAGCAAATTAGATGAAAGTGGCAGTCCAACAGATCATTCCTGACAGAGGATAAAGAATTTCGACAGACGGGATAGGAGTAGGAGGCTAAATAAACATTTGGTAATCCACAACTCATTGAAGAATGGCTGCAACATCCCCAACAGTTAATGAACTTCCATGAACCATAGTAAAATAAAAGACCTGTGTGTGCATAACATTACTCACACAGGACTACTTGCAAGTCACTGTCATTTGAGAATTCATGATAAATTTAAAACTTCTGAAAAAAGCCACAGAAAACAAAAACCAAAGTTTTATAAGCATTGCAAATCTGAACAAATTGAATTCAGATGAGAAATTCAAATGCATCTGTTCAATACAATACTAAGGAGAAGAATGAAGTTATCATGAGTGCAATTGTATAATGGGAGTAACTGTGCATAGAGGTTGTGTTGCCCTTCTATTGGTGGATGGCTTTTGTTGTATGATAACATCATCATGCACCAGTGCAGTGCATGTTAAAACACGAGAAATTAGGTGGGAGTTGTCTCAAGGCTAGTGGCATACAAATCTCTTGGGCAGATGTGCATATAAGATAGCTTTTCTGTGTGATAAGGTGAGTTATTGTCTCCAAATGTATGTTTGTATTCTATTGCTTAAGTGGAATTCTTCATTACAGTTACAGTCTTAACTCAGTTCTATTAAGCAGAGGTGAGAACATAGTGACTGCAGTTTCTCTTATTTTTTGACAAAGAAAAAGTCTTAGCTTATTAATTATGAGTTATTCACAATGAGATGTACTTTGACCACCACAAATATCGAAATCCAGTTTTTAGTAGCGTAAGCCCTCAGACTTGCCTCTGAGGGGCCCAGAGTTTACAGTAAGAAACCAAAAGGTAGCAACAGTCTGTTATTCTACTTTTCCTGAAGAAAAATGTAAAATCAAACCAAATGTAACTACTGATTCATATATACGGTGTAGTACATGTTCTACCAAAAATTATAATATACAGTAATCAATCATGAATTTAATAGTAATTGGGTCAAATTGTAAACACCTGACACTTAGTAAAGACGGTAATCAAATAAAGTCTCCAAACTTTTATCATATAATACATTACCATAATGCAGTGACAATGTCACTAGATTAAATCTACAACCTTCATAACAATTGAAAATTTATTTCATTAAACTTAAGTATGTATCATATTACATGTCGGATTATATTTTGTAGGAATATTTGTGTAAGCTTCCTTGCCTGTTTTTATATAAACCCTTTGCTGGATGAGAGTCAGTCTAAACTCTGAGGGTCCTAGTAGACATTCTGAAAAAACACAGTAAGTGGTTCATACCTCACTGGTGTTCTGCAGTTGTTCTTGAAGATTTTTAACAATTTCACTTTCATTCTCAACCACACCATCAAACTTCAATTTGACACTTTCTTTGAGTTTGTCATTTAATCTGTTTAAAAATAAATAAAAAAAGAATTTGTACTTTTTTATTTTATAGTATTATAACTTATTAGGAACTTAACCACAGTACTTTACTTAGTGGTTAACAGGGTTACACATACATTAAGAAGCAAGTTAAAGAAGTGAAACTTGGGAATGTTCTGAAGTTTTAAAAATAGAACCTTACAAAAATCCTTTGAAGTCTCTTGGAGCCTAAAAACATGTCTCCTTTATGATTACATTATGGGATATAACAGGAGATTGTGTTAGTGATTTATGTACATAAATATGGCCTAATTCTAAACTACCTGAATTACAATATACAGAAACTTTTATTCATTAGTCTTCCATGTAATTGGGGAACATTATTTAAGTGAAGAAACATTAGGTCGTCAAGAAATTAATGTTGCTTTTTTTTAAGATGAAACAACCCGAACAACTTACATATCAAAACAAAATATTTATTAAATGAAATAGTTTCCATTCTTATTGATGATGCTTTTCCAT